TCTCCCAGCCCGCACCTCCATCGTCGAGCCCGACCCCTCCTCGGCGGTGGACGCTGACATGGGCGCCTTCTTCCTCCTTAATGATGTAGGCAAAGACAACTTCTTCTTCCCCCAGATCGGTCCTCGTTGTGTTTCCAGCGGTAAAAAGGATCCCCATTTTTCACTACAATTCAACCTTATTGGATTCCCATCAATAATGGAGGCTACATGCTTCATGGTTAGAATTGTTCTACTACTGGTGTGAGAAAGGGCCAAGCTGCATTGGATGCCAATGTTGGGCATCTCCGCCCGCTGGCTTTTGGATCCAAACCCCCACGCGCCTTTTCCAAACCCCAGTTCCAGAGGGAGCGCCCAAACCCTAGTCCTTGCTCCACCGGCGACCCTCCGCCGCGACCGAACGACAACATCTACATCGGCTTGCGACGAAAGATCTTTTCATCGCTAAAAAGGTAATGAAAGATCTGACCGAGCGACCAGGTTCTGGGGCCATGGTGCGCGGTGGCGTGTGTGTCGAGCGCAGAGGACATAGAGATGGGGATGCGACGCGCGATGAGCGCATGGCACGGAGACGTGGCACGGCGGCGCACGGAGCTGCGGGCTGCTGCAGCGGCAGCGAAGGGCGCTCGACGGGCGTAGCGCAGTGGAGTGCGGCGGTGCGCGGCAGCGGCTGGCGAGGTGGTTATGAGATAGGGCAACTGAGGGACCTAAACATGCTTCATGGCTGCCTCAAGATCCATGGCCTTGAAAATGTTAAAAGCAAGGAGGAAGCTCTTGAAGCCAACATTCAACAACCTGTAATACGTGGATACAAAGGTTCAAGGTACCAAGATTGGATGGTGGGTAAGCAGAGCGGTGGCCCAGAGAGCCTGGGTAATGTTTTTCTCTCAAGATGCAGCCATCTGGGACCTACTCCCTCCGTTTCAAAATAGATGACCCAACTTTGTAATAACTTTAGTACAAAATTAATACAAAGTTGGGTCATCTATTTTGGAATGGAGGGAGTATTTTTAGAAATGCAGAATGGAGAGAGTAGATTTGAGGCTTTCCCTCATCTTCATGTGCTCCAGATTTATAGCTGCAGCTGGGAATCCTATCAGGCAACATGGAGCACCTCATGTTGCTCAAGGAACTGTATATCGGTAATTGCAAGAATATCCGGTCTATTCCAACACTGCCCCAGTCTATTGAGGAATTGCGTCTTGATTCCTGCAACGATGAGTTCATGAAGTCTTGTAAAACAGTCGGACATCCGAACTGGCAAAAGATTGAGCACATCTCCAGGAAAGTTGTTGGGTGATCCAGCAAGTAAAAAATGTAATCCCTTCTGCTGCCTTGTTTTCCCATTTTGTACGTGTGTACATTGCCTCTGTATATAATGGACGATCTGCTACTAACTCAGCTTATTTGCTACTGGTCGACATTCCAGAAAGGCAGTGAAGTCTGATGGTCTTGAATCAATGAGGAGAGGCTTTAAGCATCGCAAGACAGTGAAGGACATTTGAACAAGTTGGTTGGAATGCCCGGCGAAACTGCAGGATGTGTTGCTGTTTCTTAAATGTTGTCTCATGTTTCAGCTGATGTGAATGCCCTGAATATTAGAGTGTTGGGCCTATCTCAGTCCGTTTTCTCTCGTTTAGTTCTTCTTTTAGGTTTGTGGTGCTGTTGATCAGCAATTTGTACTGCTAAGACACCTGGTTTCAGTTAAATGAAATGTCTTGCTTATGCTCTCCTGAGCTTGATATCTGTCAGCAAAGCCAAGCTTTTTATTTGGTTGCTGGCTCCACGTTTGCAAATGAAGGACGCTGCATGTATTTATGCTACGTCTTTCCATTGCTCCTCCTACGTACTTTCAATCTGGAATTCAACCTGGTTAGAAGATCATTTTATACTGGGCAGTTGAAATCCATTGTTTGGCAGGTAAATAAATAGTGATGAAAAATTCTGATTGTATTTGCATCATGGATACAAGGTGTATATACCAGACCACACCGCACCACAGATTTCGAAATCCACATTATAGCTTTCGTCTTCAGGTCGTTCTGACGCACAAATTCAGGCCTTCCTAGCTGACAAGCCATCTACTCCTCTGTCCCATAATATAGGAGTGTTTTCGACACTACTAGTGTCGAAAACACTCTTATATTATGGGTGGGACGGAGGGAGTAGTTCACAGTCACGTCCGGACCTCCTAGGGTGAAGCCCGGCCTCGTGTGAAACTCTGTTTTGCAGATATTTTTTTTCTGTCAAGGTGATTCATTCGTTGAGTAGCACTAGGCGCTAGAGAGCCTGGAGTGAAGCTTGTGCCTGCTGCCTATGGAGATTCAGAACTGAAGCCTGGGTGGGGTTGACGCCTCGCCCGTGCCGCGTCGTTGCTCGTCAGCTTCCAAGCGATAGAATCTTGGATAGATACCATTTTTAAATGGGATGAGTACGTCTTGGATCAAGCGTCGACCATGAAATGATCAAATCGAGCTAGAGCTAGAGATTGAGAAGAAGAATATAACCATTCATTTCTACTGTCAGAAACACAAGGTTGCAAGATCTTAGGTTCCAGGTTAATTAGAGCTAGATGTTACGAACAAAAAAACAACCATTCATGTACAACTAAAGTTCATAAGCGGATAAATAAATTCAGAAATAGGGAAATAAGCAGAGAGATGAACGTAGATATTAAAATATTCATAATAGTTCCAAGAAAACGGTAAAATATCCATAGTTAAGTAGTAGGGTGTTACGCCTGCGTGGCTGCTATAAATGGCCACTCGAACACAAACAGAGTACTAAGTTTACTAAATAGCTAGCTAGCTCCATAAGTCCAGTACATGAGTGCAGTCAAGCACCAACCGCTTTATCACAACTTCATGAAGCTCTGCCCAAGTCCCTTGCTTCCCTGCTGGTACCATTAATGTAACTCTAGTATCCTCAGAAAGGCTGTCAATTGTGAGGCTCCAATACATAGCACAATTAGTGCCCATCTGCCAATGACTCCGAGAACAAAGGAACATAGGAAAGATAAGGGCACGTGGAATTCCATGGAAGATCACATATGAAACACAGCTCCCCAGAATCCATATCGTATGAAAATAATTTCTTCTCTGGTCGGTACCACAATCTAAATCCTTTGATTATGAATATCACATCGTGTTCTGGGTGGGCTGAGATAACACCATAATATTGCTCAGAACTAGAATACTCTATTCCGAACAGTCGCAAGTGGCTGACATTGAGCTTCAGGGTCCAACAATTTTCACTACTAGAATCTTCAAGAACCCAGATTGATAGTTCAGAAGCACCCTGAATTGTGAGATACAACTGTCCCTGTGATGCATAGACATTAGGACAGTCAGGGGCATCATGTGAAGTAGGAATAGGAATGATCCTACAATTTCCTTCCACGTCGACGGCTGCAACTGAATTATTATCAGGACATAGATACAACACTCTGCTCAAAAACGCGCAACCTGATAAGCAGAGTATCTCAATTGGATGCGTCCAAACTCCAGATTCGGAAGAGTAAATACCCACCGCTTTGATGCTATAATGGTCCCTCTTACTCGGATCCCAAGCAATGTCAGGTACCAACTCGAACACATAGAAGTGTGCGGAGACGGCCGGGTCGAATCCTAGGCAAGCACTGTCCACCAACCAGGACCACTTGGTGGCGGGCACGGTTACCCATTTCTCGGTGGCGGGATTGCACACCACGTAATCCAGCGTCTTGGGGTCATCCAGTGTCTCTGGGTCAGTCGACTTCCGGGCTCGGCAGAGGAGGAGGCCGTTGCAGCAATCCAAGATTTGAAGGCTCTCGTATTCGGACAGGAACGAGAGGGAGGCGTCATGAGGGCACCAGTTTCCGGAGACGCTTCGGTAACCATGAGAAAGATGTGGATGGTCGTCCGTGGCGAGGGTTGTGTAGAAGAAGCCGGCAAGGGTCGACCGGGGAAATATTTTGCGGTGGTCGGGGTGGGAGATGAGGTCCCGCCAGCGCGTGGAGACGCACTTGCAGCAGCAGGTCGACTTGTACGGCACGCGGGAGATGACCTCGACAAGGAGGTCGTCGGGGAGCTTGGCCGTCGGGTCGCCGATGAGGGCCGCCTCCATGGATCCCGTCGCCATCTCCGGGGAGGAAACGAGCGGCCAATCTGCAGATCCGGGGCGAAGGAGGAGAAGTGAGGGATTCATCCAAGCGGCGAGGGGAGCGTGAGGGAAGAGAGGACCTACCAGATGTGTGAGGCGCGAACTGCAAAGAGAGGATCGGCGACAGCGCCGCCGCTGGGTGCTCCCATCCGCGCCGGCCGGTGAGGGTTTGGTTTGGGGGCGGGGCGAGATTTTTCTTTTCTTTTTGGAGCACAGCTGCGGGGCGAGATGGATGGATAGTTGGATTGGATACTGAGGAAGTGGAACCGGCAGGCACTTGTCTCGCCTTTTTCCTGGGCTCAGTGAAAGACACATTTTAGCTGATCTTTGATACGTACCAGGTGTTGGGGCGCGCCTCTTGAGCGGAAGCTGGGCAGTGCCAGCTAGTGGTCGACCCTTTAATACACTTTTATATTTTGATTAGCGTGTGTGATGATTGTCTTAAGAGTTAATTACACTTCTGGTACATAAACTTACACTGCGGATACAAATTCATACATAAAGTTAAAAAATGACACAAAATAGTCCAACAACTTGTGTTTGAGGTACATTTATATACATTTCCATTGCTGACTGTTATCACTCCGTTAACTCTATCTACCTCGCACGCCAGCGAGTTTGGGTCGATGTTCCCTTAAGTATGGGACCCACCTGTAAGTGTGGAAAAGAGAAATAAATGGAAAATTAAAATTGTACGAGCATCCGACAGGACTCAATGGCTCGACCTAATTTCTTTAAGCGAGAGATGCTACCAACTGCACCAACTGTTATTTACTGCTAACAAAGATACAGACATCTTCTTATATCATCGATAGAGTTGTTCTTGTTCTTTCTTCACAATTTTAAAAACCGAACCAGCGAGCATCCGGTTCAGATTTTTACACTGTTGTACCGCCAGTATACTGGTTAAATAGTTGGCTTTTTAGGCACTATAAATTAGCATGCATTCTTTACTAATAAAGTAATAATACCCTAATGGAATGAAAACTAAATAACAAAGTTGCTTGGGCGATACAGAGAGGCCATTGAGCCAACCCTGAAATCGATGATTTCAAGCGTCCTAGTTTCAAATCGTATGTTCAGAATCATTTTTATAATTTACGTGCATGTGGCTCGTTCTACCACCTTGTTTGTACCCACGGTTTGCCAAAAAGAAACGCCTGGTGCAGCCGTCCAATGAGCATATTATATTGCTCCATATTACGCACAGGTTATATGTGCAAATACTTAAAAAAATGCTTGAAGATAAATAAAAAATGTCGCTGGCGAGCAGTGCGTAATTTTCTTTTTCAAATCAATTCTGCAGTGTCGTCAAACTATATAAAGTGGTCTATCTCTTGTTGAGCATATGATGAAAGTTAACACATTGGCTAGTCGCAGACGAGCGTGACATGAGCTCTTGAGTTTGAGTTGTCCTCACCCAGTGGCGCTTCATTTTATTCTATTTCTCTTTCCCCACTTACAGGCAGGCTCCACACTTAAGATAACGCGGGTCCAAACTTGCTGGCTTTCCACGTAGACACTTAACAGAGAAAATAACGGCCAGCGACGAAAATGTATGTGAATGTACATCAGATGCAAGTTGTTGGACTACTTTGTGTCATTTTTCAACTTTATGTATGAATTTGTACCCACCATGCAAGTTCATGTACTAGAAGTGTAATTAACTCTTGTCTTAATTAAGAAATTCAGATTTCAAGTGGAGAACCGCTGCAGAAATAAATATATGCATAGAAGCCCCATTATGAATCTTAACATGAATAATCTGACTGAGAACAGTGCAGTTTACATAAGCAACGTCATAGGTTTGACATCTTCAAAAGCATCGGATAGCAGGGTCAAAATGTAAATTGTAGGTTCATCATGAGACAGAGAATAATTAGGAATACTTTGATTATAGTGACACAGGATTGTGGTGTATTCAACGGTGCATCTAGAGGTGGTGGATGGTGAGAACCAGGCGGTACGTTGAAGTGACCCTGAAACGAAAAGCGTAGATGTCTCCTTCGCGAATGTTGGCAGAGTGACGAAACTCAGACCAGTTCATGGTTATAGTTGCCCTCTTGTCAGTTCCTACCATAATGCGACATTCGGCGCGCAAACGGCCATTTGCAAGTCTAACCATGAGTGTATCATTGTTTGGATCAATGTAGTCCAGCAGGTTCTCTTTAGTAGTGTACCTAAAAATACTGGTACAAGAAAGCAAGTGATTTGCATGGACACAAATTGTTGTGTGATATGGAAGATAAGAGTGTGTTTTTGAGGTTTCCATGCGCTGGCCTGGCTTGGCAAATGTTTTGTTAATTGTGCACACGTAGTACTTGATGTAAAATGTTTTGTTGATTGTGCACACGTAGTACTTGATGTCTGTCTCTTTGTGCCAGAACATAGCGAAGAAAGGGTCTATGTGGCGTTCATAGAGCTTCACCTCATTACCCCAGTAACAATGGTCTTCAAGCTCACCAAAGTACTGGATGCCGCCAGGTGCTCCTGCATTCAATTCAATGTAGGTGAGAAGAAAGTTAAGTATCGCTTGCAACAACCGTAAATGTCATAGTTTGTTTGGGAAAAGAAATTTCAGTTATATAACAACATAGGCACGGGCTTAGGGGCTGTTTGGATTGAACCCAGACCAGCCCTACAAAAACGATGGCGTGCTAGAATTTTGGCGAAGAAAACTGCCGCCTGGAACTTGCTCGTGTGCTAGTACAGAATTATAAAGGTTGGCTAAAAAATTGGCAGCCATTAGAAAATTCGGCTGCAATCGAAACGGTTGCCCACACTGTGGTCAACAACCAAAAAATTTATTGGTGAAATTTAGACCTTACACTGAATATTTGAAACAAACAACAAGACTAACTCGGGCGGGAAACCCCTAAGCAAGAGAATCTGCCTCAAAACCAATACTAAGTTTTTCTGTATGCGAGAACATACCTGAACAACCTAAATAAACTGAAGTGCCACTCTCTTGCATTATCTGCATCTTCCCCGATTGCTCCTAAATCTTACAAACCCATGGCCCTGGTGTAGATATGTAACCCATCATTTAGTAACCATCAAAATCAATAGTAATATTTATGATATATGTAAAAAGGGATCAATGACATCGTTGAAGCTCTAGCAGGTTTAAGTTTCAACTAAACCTATTCAGAATTAATTAACTGTAGAAAAAAACAGATTAGCAAGGAAGCATGAATCAAGTCTAAGAGATAGGAAAGTGGCATCCATAATCTGCCACATAAATCATGCTTCCTGTACCATGGGAAGGAACAGAAACAAACTGAGAAGCTGAATGCATCTCTAAGAGATAGGAAAATGGCATCGATAATTCAGCTTTGCAGCGCTCGGCATACCAAAGAACAGCACCATTGAATTGTCAACGCTAATCAATGCTATAGTTAAATTACCCTGTTGAAACTCCATTTTGTTAGCCTAGTTCCATGAATTTCATTTGCTGACACATATAGCCAGATAATTAGGATAAGATACCCTATTTGAGTTTTATGCTGATGGTTGCAGCCACGAAAAGCATTTGTCAATCTGTTGTCCAATGATTGGCAATCAAATTGATCCAATGTGTGCAGATTCTTCTTGGGACCCAATTCAACTAGAAAAACGGAGTTAGTCAGTAAATAATTAACATGGCTCACCCTCACCTCCATGGGATCCATTTGCAGTACCATCTAGAGTAAAAGCTAGGGGAATAACATGAAAGCTTCAGGTTGTGTCGCTCCCCTTCAAAGAAGACCCAAATAATAGCAGTGGAAAACTTTCAGTCTCTTTGACCACTCTAAAAGCTACTCTGCATGAGGAAAAAAGTAATGTTATTAGTAAGAAATGGTAACTCATCCTCAGGTTTGGCGGAGGAAACTATAACACATGTCTATCAACTCACATTATTCAGGTGACGAATCCAAAAACAGCAAATAAGGCAATACTTACTAAATATACTTCATAAGACTTGGTTTCCATCAAGTGAAGAACCATAGACAGAGGCAAAGCAACTTATAACATCAGTATAAACAATTCCACACGTTTGTACTGATATTCAAAGAGACACGCTTAGCACCCAAGCAACTCGCTGAGGAAGTCGATGTTGAAACATCAAAGGTTAACAGATGGACACCTCCTACATGGTCACAAATGGGTCTTTTCCCGAGGCAAGTCTGGACCATATTTTGTTGGCATCACAAATACATCTTCCACTTATTTTCATCGGCTGACTGCAGGTGACGACACATGAATTAAAATCAAATTTAATATGTGCGACTAACTCGTAAGCACATCGAATGCTTACCAAGCAAAAAGAGACAAATCAAAAGAATGGCTCATGAGGAAGTCATATAGAACGTGCTTTCCTGTTATAACGGGGGTGCTCATGTCCATCGTTTCACCGCAAAATCCATCCTTCGGAAGTTCCCAGTAATAAGATTGGTTGTCATTCCATTTGTTCAGACCTTGTGTTCTGAAAGGAATCATACCGTCAAAACTTCCACTCGGTTTAAGCATTTTGTTAGGAATAGCAACTTAATCTTATTAGGAGGCCAAAGGCATCATATATACAAGTACATGAGAATGCCAAAAGGCTAGAATGTAAAAGACCAAAAGTCACCACTAAT